TCACTCGAACAGTGGGAACTGTTGTTTATTTTATTTCGTTCCAGCCACTTGCATGCACAAGCGCGTGTCGGCACCTTGCGTTGGGGCCTTTGGGCAGATTGGGGGTTGCAAGCGTTGAGACGATGGGCCCTTGTTTCCACATGTCTGTCGCTCTACGAGAGCGGGCTTAAGGCGAGAGAGAGCGCAGCCTTTTTCCTGGTTGTGTGAAGAGCACTCTGCTTGCGAGAGACGCCTGAGGCTGTTGTGTGGGATCGCCGTTGTCTCAGACCCGCAATGCATCCACATGCCCGCGGGGGGCTTTTAGAGAGCAATTTCTCGCAGCTTTCTTAGGCAAAGCACCTGAGGTGTTGATCAATGTGACCATTGCTGTGCTCCTAGAGTTGCTCGGGCTCGGTCTGATGTAAGCTTCAAGGTTCCTCACACGGCTTCTGAGCTTACAGCTGTAGTACTAAAGAGCCCTTCAGCAGGATATGTAGCACACTCAGCTCGTCAACCAACCCATGCGCCAAGCCCCCGTCAAGTATCGTGAGCCTTCTTGTGTGGGACTTGTGACGTTGCTGCGGCCTCGACTGAGTGTATCTGAGTATCTGAGTGCAGCGTCCCAGCGCTTGAGGAAAATGGTGGACGATGGCTCGGAAAAGCTGGCTGAAGCTCAGCTGGCGGCAGCTGAAGCAGCCAAGAGTTCCACTGCCACTGTGGACTGGGCATTTCAGGCAATAATCGCTTTCTGCTGTAGGGCGTGAAGTTCCCGTCTTGTACCGAAAGTTTCTTCTGCGCACGGATCTCGGACCACACGCAAGTCACGTCCCTCCAGCCTTGCTTGATACATCTGAAGCCCTTCGCTGCAATTAGGAAGAAGGCGATCTTGCTCACAGATACCGGAAGCCCCCGCGTTGCGTCCTGTAACGCTTTTCCATTACTCTCCTGATTATGGTAAAGTCGTCAGCCCTTGGCAGGCCGCTCAGTGGCCCGGCAGCCAATGTGAAGGGTCAGCGAATGTCGCGAATTTGGTTTAGATCAGTGGCCACAGCCGACAGCGTGCATGCTCCGAAACCGAGGCCACCAGTCGCCGACTGTAGCGGCGTTGTGGAGCTGGAGCAGCTTCGTTTAGTTTAGCATAGCACTGAATCGACACCTTGAATTGTCAAGGTGCAAGGGATCGTCACACTTAGTTGCCAAACATGCAATGGCTGGGCAGCTATGTGTTCTGGGTATCCCACTCAGGAACGAAGTACGTGGTCTCAGACGAGATATGCAGACGCTCAAGTCTCAGCTGGACATGCTGGCTGCTGCGGTGAAGGATTGCGCAATCCTACGTGCAGCGCTAGTTCAAAGACTTCTGTGCTCTTCTTGAGTGTGTCCATTGGTTGGGCTGAGTACTCTAATGTCCCGAGGCTTGTGCATGAAGGTCAAACAGCGCGCCAATCGATTAATCGACCTGCTGTGTTGCTAGGGTGGTGACGGCCAGGTCTTGCATCCCCCAGGCTTGCGCCTTGTGCACGAGATAGCAGAAGTGAGAAGCCCCTGTGAAAGGGAAAGATGGGAGCCAACACATGACACAGCCTATGCGCAAACTGGTGCATGCTTCACATGCCCAGTACCACCTTGCAATCTCTGGATCACCTTTTCGCTTCACAGGCCCCTTTCCAGAGCTGTCCTGTGGCAGGACAAGCCTTCGCTGCTGCTGCGGCTGCGACGGGGCAGCTCGGGCTGTGACAATGCATGGCGCACAAAGGTCGCATATTCACGGACGCATTTCCGGCTCTCTGCTTAAACTCGTACCAGATGGTTGTCCAGTGCCCGTCGAGCATGTTCGATGGTGGCTTGCTTGGTATCTTGCAATCCACCCAGAGCAGCCAGCAGCGCGAGGCAAACCGCCATGACTTTCAGCATGATCTGCAACGCCTGAGCTGTTGCGTTAACGAAATTCGCTCTGCACGTGGTTCAAGGGTTTTTTCAGGTCACTTGCGCACATGTCGTTTCCATCCCCTGCTCACATCCAGCAGACAGAGATTGCAGATAATGCTCTGAGAGCCAAGGGGGGAACGGCTTGCGATATTTATGTTGCAGATCTTAAGTTCCCGGGGCCGCCATCGCTTGACTGTGCTTGACTCAGGTACACGAAACTCACAAGCTACATATTCAGCCGCAGCCGCGGATATTTTGGGGAGCCTGCGGTACATGTTTTGCCGAACATGACAGAGGCCCAAGGGCTTGTTTCACCGTTGAGTAGTTGAATAATTACTCGTGGCCACAGCTAAAGCTTCCCTGCTTCTGCAGCAGAGTTCCATAAAACTATTCCCAACAGGCAGGCCATAGCCTGTGGCTACACATTTCCAACGATCCTGCATGGTGTGGTCCACATGCCCCACGCATGCAGCTTCATCATTGCTGCATGCTTTTCTGCTTGCCGAGTGAATGATCCATGTAGTTCTACAGCGGTTGACACGAGAAAGAGGTTTTGGGGGCTCCTTGGTGGACAATATGATTGTGAGCCAGTGTGAACCTGTGGACCCTCACATGAGTTGCAGGGCGGCTAGGCTTCCCTCTTCGAGAGTTGCACTGAGAATGATAATACTGTAATCACTATATCCCCCTTGGGAATTATGTTTTATTTTGTTTATATAAAACCCAAGAGGATTAAAAAGATTGTTGTTATTAAGGTTCTAAGGACGTGGAGCTCCAGCCCTAGGTCCGCCCACCCACCTCTTTTGAACACACTGCTGTCACTGCGACGGAGGCAGTTAGAAAAGCGAAGGCTTGGCACAGAAATCACAAGATTTGCTGTCGCAAGGCCTTCACATTATGAGGATGAATTAGCTTCCGACACCGATTCCAGCCGCGAGTCATAAAGCGCCCAGGTGGCATACTGTGCATATCTACATCAAGACGCGTTACAGCCAAATGACCCACAAAAGCTCATACTTGTGAAATTGCACGCGCGGCAAGCTGTGGCAAAGAGCCGATCCTGCCAAGCAGGATTTTGGATTCAAGGTCTTCAGACTAATTCGTCGGATTCTGTGGTAAGCGGCTCAGGCCAACGCACTAATGTTTAACAATAAAAGCTGTTGCAAAGCTCTGCACGCCGTGGTACCTCAGCATCTCCTGTAGCAGAACTATGCATGAACATGATGGCGCCACCATCTTTGTAGGCTCGCTGAGGCATAGCTCTTCAAGGGGCCTTCTGCATCTTTGAGGGAGGGCAGTTCGCGAAGGGCAACGCTTAACAAACCATGCCTGCCAACACGGCATTCCTGCATCAAAGTTATCCGACCTCCGCATAGTCAAGAACCTCGCTTGCACTTGCTTGCACAACATGCTGATGAGGCCCCTTGTTTCACCCTCCACAAACCAATAGTCGCTGGCGTCATAACACCACGCACACATCAAGCCACGCATTCGAGCCAAATCATGCGGTGTTATTGCGCTATGCATCCAAAAAACCCAACATGACCGTGCGCTCGCAGCGAAACAGCAAATCGCCCATCCTTGTGATGTCAGCATCTTGCACCTGAATTTACAGTTCTGATGCCAATATTCACGCCACGGACTGCTGCACAAGAGAGCCTGCAAAGAGACCTTGCAGGCTTCGGACGAAGGGCCACCGCCTGCCCCAGCGCCCGTCCCGGAGGCCTGTTGCAGATGGTTGGCTTCGTAGTATCGGCATCCTCGCCTGCAACTGTAGCCGTTTAATTCGCAGCACTTGTAGCTTGGAGAGTAAACTTCGATGTGCGTGTTTTCTGCTTCTTTGGGAGTTGTTTGTTGACGAGATGTGGCTGCGCAGCGGTCCCGCAGTACTTGTTTGCATGCAGGAGCGCTCCATGGAGGATGCTGAAAGCAAAGCTTTTGAATCCACGCTCCAGGAGCCCAGACGTGGGAAACGAGGTTTAAGAGGGATTTGAGCCCATTTCTTCCGCAAGAAGCCGCCTTTGTGGCACAAAAATGTTAGGATGCTCCGATGCGTGCTAAGTGGAACTGAGCATGAAAGAATACCATCGAGTAAACCAGCATGGCAGCACGTTTCCATAGTTTCCGGAAGGGCGACGGAATGCTAAGTGTCTTCCGCTAGTCTTCTTGGTTGGTGGCAAAATTCTCCCTGCATTTACCGTAGATCTTTTGGGCCCAAAGTTGATTTTGTGAAGCCTCCAACCCTTCAGATGTCTTTGCCGAGGACCTCTTAGACAAAAAGGAGGCTGCCAAAGCCGAAGAGGATTTTGACATGGCAGAGCAGCTGAAGGAGCAGGTCGCAGCACTCCATGAAACAGGGCACACCGCATGGCCAGCGCATCGCAAGCTCTGACTCGGAAAGGTTCAGCAGCTGAAGGACAAAGAGCTTGGGCGGCTAAAGGCCCATGTCTGGGTTTTGTCCGTGTGAGTGACGTGAGAAACCGCAGGCACAGCTGACTCGTTTTCGCAGCCTACAGCAGCTATCCTTATGTCCTCTGGGAACGTTTGACGCTCAGGAGAGGAAGGAGGAAGCCCTGAAGCAAGAAAACTATCTGGAGGCCAGCCCTGCTCTTTCGTCCCAAACATCGGAGATTCTATTCCGGCTCTTCTTGGAAGCGAGGCCAAGTCCATCAAAGCTCGCATTGCAAAGCTGGAGCTCTGATGCACAGCGCAGAACATACAGTGGCTTGTACGGCTTTTCTGCTGAGTGCGCCCTGTTTCTGCTATTGTTCCAACAATTGTTGGCTATGCCAAACCACAGACTGCCAGAAAAGGTTCCGAAGAAAAAGGCGCACGCACAAAGCACCAACTGCCAGCATGCACATTTCTGGCTTTTGGCAAACGCCCTGCGTCCTTGGATGGTGAAAAGTTCATCCCAGCCCCGCCCCCCTCAAAAACTGAGATGCTTATGAATCATGGCTCTTGTCGAACATCCCCCGGCCTTCCCGCTGTATGCCCCTCCCAAACTGTACGTCAAATTTGCGTTCCCGAATGCACTGCTGGTGCTCCGCTGCGTTCATGCGCAACCGAGCCGCAGTCACTTTGTGCATGAGGTCTTCTCGCAATGGACATCTTTCCTGGAGCTCATTGAGAGGGCTGGGCGCTCTGCATCTGTCGTGCTGGGTTCACACTGCGCGCTCGTGCGCGCGCGATTTGGCTGGAGGAAATGTGAAGCCGGTAGCTAAAGTTCGGCAGGTATACATTCCAGGGCATCTCATTGGCATCTCATAGCTTTTGTAGGCATGTCAGCAAGTCTGAGCTGTCTCAGTGACTCAAGGTACCATTTCGAGCAACCCAAGAATATCATTTAAGCCGTCGCAGGATCGCGATTGAATGCGGTTCAGGTGTTTTGAGTTTCAAGGCAAGAATACCAGAGTAACTGTTTTCAATGCCACTGCAGCACACAAGAAGTGCTTCCGGGTGGCACCCTGGCAAGATCATAAGATGTCCAGACAGCGCCTCTAGCACTCCAGAAGTCTGGAAGCTTTGAGGATTCAGCTGCTCCCGCCCCATATGCCATGAACCCGAACACTGATTGGGACCCCTTTGAGTAGACGTCCGACGCCCAACGAGCACAGCAACACTGTTTAGCCTACAGACATGCGTCAAGATCACGACAGCCTTGGTGCTTGCTACAGGGGGGGGGGAGGATAGCTTCTTCATGCAAAATGCCCGGTTGGCCGATCGGTTCCTACTGGTTGCGAAAGGCCTTGGATGCAGAGCGGATTCAACACAAGCGATTCGAGCCTTTGCTGCACGAGCCTCCTGAGCAGAACAGTGGAGATGAGTGGAGCTGTCGCCTGCTGAGGATGGATCTTTGAGTCGCAGCCTTCGGGTCTCACTGTTTTGAACTTGTTTTCGACGAAGCTTAGCTCATTCTGGAAGAGACACGAAAGACATTCCCGAGGTCTCGAGGAACGCGCCCAGCGCGTCGCATGGCTAAGTGAGGCCGCTGTGACAGGCGAGTGAGCCCGAAACCTGACCCTCAACCAATGAAGTCCGAGCCTGTGTTCGATCCAACGGCGGTCACCTGCCTGTCAAGTCCACTTGGCTTTGGGCGTGACAGGACTTTAAGTCCCTAAGTTCAAGTTAAAACCCTCCGAGCTTCAACATAGTCTATCATAACAATAATAAGACGTACTAACATTCTCATGTATGGTCATTTAGGGAAGTCAGGGCCCCTGGAGGGGTGAAATTACTCGTGCATGTTGGGTTGAGGAAGGCTTCAGATCATGGTTCTGGTGATCCTTTGTCCTTTCTGCCCTTTCTACAGATGACTTGGGTCGTAGCAACTCCGAGAGTTTGGGGTTTTGAGCTCAAGCTTGCTCAGGCACGTTGAACTGCCATTTGTTGAGAATGTGTGTTTCTTCAGTCCTGGGGCCTAGCTTAGACCTTTTCGTTGTTCAATAAGATTCAAATTCAGCCATGTTGACCTTGGAATGCACTGGGCTCCCAGGACTTCTTTTGTCACGGGCCCTGTAGATTGTAGATGGTATCTAGATGGTATACCATATCCCGCGCCCAACAGCAGGTCATGGTGCGCGCGCCTGCCACTTAGAACGATCAGGTGTGCGTGTGCTTCTGGATCAGGACGTGCGCTCATGCGCTTCAGGTGCTTCTGGCAGGGTTGAAATCTGGAGGGACAGGCGGCGTCCCTGGCATTCAACACCCTTCCCTCTTGCCAAGCCGCCGGGCCAAGCCCCCGCTTTTTCAGTAAACGCCTTTTAGAGAGATCAGGCCTCAACTTGGTTGCCGCCTCGCGGCTTTACTTGCTGGACCTTTGGTGGAATCCAGCCTTCAGCTCAGGGAGGCGTTCAAGGATCTGAGAGTATGGTTGGGTGAAGTACAATTGTAGAATACATTAACGAGTGTACAGGATTACGAAGGTCCGTTCATGGTTTTTGTTTGTGGGCACTGCAAGTGGCTGGTGGGCAAGGCTGTCGAAGAGCAAGCGATCCAGCGCGTGCATCGAATCGGGCAGCAGCGCTCCCAGGGACCAGTGGAAATTTCACTATGTTTTTGTGCAGCGGCAGATGTGTGAAGGCAGGAAGAGTCGTAAGTGTCAAGATCAACACTTCAAGCTGCAGCAACTTGCGCCCTTGCATGCGCGAGCCTGACCTGACATGAATAATTGTCGCTGCGCGGACGAGGGCCGCGCGCCTGCACTGAAGGGTTTCCCTTCCAAGCCCTACCAGAAGAAAGAAAGAAGGAATCAAAGATAAAAGAGAGAAAAGAAAGGAAGGAAACAAGGTAAGAAGGGAAGAAACGTGAACTTGCGGGTGCGCTTGGCGCGAGGGGGGGGCTCGGAGAATCCCCGTTCCCTCAAGCCCTGAGGAAGAGAAGCGGAGCTTGGACGAAAGAAGGGAAAACGAGGGAGAGAGTTGCCTGCCCTGTGCGACCGTCCGGTTTAAATGAAGCGAGCTGATAAGTCACATCTCCTCAGGTGAGGAGGCATCACTGGCCCCACAGTTGATATCTTGACCATAAAGTTACTAAACTCAGACCTGACTCAATGGCCTACTAGAGTGCTGCTGAGTTAAGTGGCGAGCTCACAGGAAGCAGGAAGTTCACATCTACAAGTTTGTGGTGGAGGTGCGAGAGCGAGACCAGAGCAGCAAACGAATACATGTTGCCGCATTGGAGTCTAGACTCTAGACGTTGTGTAAGTTCGAGGTAGGCCAATCCTGCAGCAAAAGACAGGATACCATTGACTGCGACCTGCTGCAGCTCCACCGTGCCAAAGAGCGGCTGCTGGAAGATGCCTGGAACCCTGCGGCTTCAGGAGGCTTTTGAGCCATTTTGAGCCTTGAAAGTGCTGAGCCTAGGCACTCAGTGGAGGCAAAGGCCATGAGACGGCCACAAAGCTCACCATGGATGACCTGAAACGTACGTGTCTTAGCTCCCTGACGAGGCTACACGAGGGTGTAGCTGCCCTTTCGAAACTTCTGCTGAGGCCTCTTCAACCCATGCCGATCTCTTCGAACAGGAGGCCAGTCACCAGTGGCGGTGCTAGGATCAAGGCCCCTATTGTTAATCTTCTCCTCTGCAGGAAGCACTTAAGGTCACATACAGGGAGGGGAGAACACAGATCGGATTTCCGTCCGTCCAAGTGTGGGAGTCAACGCAGCAGAGAAGAGCGATATACGGGCTTTCGGATGGTTTCGCTCAAGACGGAACTCTGCCAGCTCAAGCCACTGAGCAGCCATTGAAGCAAGAGAGAAGGCTGTTTGTATTGCATCTTGCAGTGGGGCCTGGACTGTTGTTTCAAGCTGGAGACTTTGTTCTCTTTCCCACAAAAGCCAGCGGAGCTAGACTTGAGTTTCGGAGTTAGTGTGCGGCCTCGCACCAGGCTCTTCTGCTGCAGCTGAAGCCAAGGCAGTCGTCCCCCATAGTTAATCTGCAAGTCTGAAGCCAGGGCATCCGTTCTGAGAATTTCCAGTGTCCAGGATCGGAGCGTTTTGGGTTGGCTAGTGTCCTTAGCTGCGTGAATTCTAGCAATTCTACCTTGCACGCAGCCGTCTTCTTTGGTTCTGCTCACTAGCCTTGCGCCAGCAAGACATGTTTGCACGGCTGAGAACGGCTGGACCCTGATACCATCAGCGAAGGCTTGCACGCAAACCCCAGACACAGCTATAGCGGTTGCGCAAGTACCTTCATGGGACATCCATGAAGTATGGTGGCCCCTACGTCTCTGTAGAGTCTTGATTGCAGAAGCTGCAGGTTCATAAGTCGCAAACTCAGTGACGCCCTGGTCAACCTGCAAACCGTTTTCATTCTGTCATGCTCCATCCCCGTTGTTGTGAACAAGTGGAGCATCGGCTCTCACTGACTGCTCAGCCTCCTCCTCCTACCCTTCTGTGGTGACAGTCCTGAACACCAATCGAGCGATATAGCTTGGGTTTTTACACAACAGATGCAAGCCGTGTTCATCCTGCCCATCGCGACATGCTGTAAGATTTACTAGATTCCAGGGTTTTAGGCTCTGCGGGCTTCAGTCTAAGGATGCCCCACGCGTCTACAACGAACGCACCAGGAGTTGCTGGAGGGATTAGGGCGGCAGGTGGTGGGAGGTGGTCCAGACGTCGAGTGGCCTTTTGCCTCCCAACCTGGAGCGATGCCGTTGGCAGGAAGTTCGAGTATGCCTTCTTTGCAGACCGGAACCCTAAGTTCGTGGAAACTCTCGGGAAGTTCCTTGAAAAGGACCACCGGTGACCATTGAAAGCGATGCGCATAAGCGCCGTTGCAGCATGTACTCATACCTTCACCGATAGGAGACTTTCGAGAAGGATGATTTCATCATAAGAGAGGGTGACAAAGGCTACTGCATGTCTCTCAGCTGCAAGGGGGGTCCGAGTCTTCTCAATCAGGTGGGCCACCTGCTTTTGCTGTCGAACTCTTCAACATGCTCAGGTACTTCTTCTGCTCGGGCCGTGCCAGCATGTGCACGGGAGCAGATTTTCGCGAAGTACAGACTCTGACACGAGGACCAGTCACTTCAATTGAAGCCCCGTAGCAGCTCTGAAGTTGATGTCCTCACTCCATATGTTAGAGCTGTAGCTGCGCGTGCTACACTCGGCTGAGTGGTTGCCTCTGAACTCTTGCTGCCCCTTGGCCTGAGGAGCACACTGTGGGGAACTGGCTTTGTACGGGATCACTCATCGGAGTTTCAGCGTCATAGCCCGCGAGCGCACAGTGCCTTGCCTTGACTCATTCGACAGAGGCTTGGGATTCAAACCTACCAGCTAGTATGGACTGTGGTAGCATTCCATTTGTTGGATTGGCACCTTTTTGCTGGAGGAATGCCTCGTGCTGAAGAACCGTTTCTTCCAAGCAGTGCTTGAAAGGCTGGGAACCCTTGTTTCAAGCTGCAGACCCTCAACCCAAATTCAGGAAAAACTCGCTTGGCTACATGGACATGTCGTCCAAGGTCTAATGCGCCATGATGGCAGAACGTGCATCAGGTTTCCTGAGGAGAAAGAGTACTTCGCACAGGTCGCAGCTGCCAGAAAGCAGGTCGGGCGTGCCAACTTGCCGAGAAAACCTCATCCTTTCAATGCCCACCAGCACGTGCTTGTCAGAGTCAGAGTTTGGCAGGGTTTGTTGAAATGGCATACTGATACTGCTTTTGCCCTGATGGCCGACTTAAACCTAACGAGCATTGCGTGCTTACACTTGTCGTGGAGGATTTCTTTCTTGAGTTGACGTCAGTGCTTAGACCAAACTTTGCAAAGCGATCGCTGTTAGCACACGATATATACGGTTCTGTACCAGGTATTAGGGAGAATATGCAAGAAAGATCTGCGGCCAGAGTGGCCTCAACGCGTCTCAACGTGTCCGGAAAGACTTGCAATTTGAAGCGGGTGGCTCATGCACCCGACCGATTCTGTTTAAACTCTTCTTCGCTGCCGAAGGCAGTCAAAGCAATCCGTGCGTGCGTCTGAGATGCATAACCGATTGCATTCATTGGTTTTGACAGGAGCTTAAGCTCAAGTACGAGTCTCAGCGGCAGACACGCCACCGGCGGGCTAGAAGAATTGCTGTGGGCGGCGAGGCGGTTTCAGAAGGCACTGCAACCTGGCAATCTGAGCGGTAGTGCTATGCTGGGTTTTTTTCGAGATCCTAGATAGCAAGCAAGAACCTGGAAAGGCGACTCCGACCGGGATGCCACTGATGACCCGGCGCCAAGTCTTCCGGAGGAATCTTGTTGCAACCGGTCCAGCCTGGTTCAGGTTCTTTAGGGCAAGAGTCAGACGCGCCCAGAGGAAGCCGCGCGACATTCTACGACACATGTCCTTCTGCAGCTGACCACAGGCCGACACCTCCGCACCTCTCCCGGACGCGGAGATCCCAGGGTTCTTCGATGCAAGCGGTGGCAAAGTATGGAGTACGAGTAGGATACACTCGACAGGAAGCCAAACCCCAAACCCGAAGCATCCCCTCTTGTTGTGAGCAAGGAGGATGTGGTCTGCTGTGGGATTTGGATTCAGAGGTGTAGCACTGTCCCACCAAGACCTTCCGAAGCCTTGTCTCGTGTGATCGTGAAAGTCGCAGCACGTTCGTGCGCCTTGCATTTGGTCTAGTGCAGGTTTGGGTTTGAGCAAGCCTGTGGGGCAGAACTTGTGAAATATGCAGAGTTTCACTTCGAAGAGTTTTACTTCGAACCTGCCTGCTTTGTAACGCCTCCACACAACCAGGAAGCATCTCTGCAGCAAAGCTTCGTTGACCCGGCCAGGCTTTCGAGACTTCAGGTAGCCACGCACACAACACGTCATCTATTTCCAAGTATTGCCTTGGACTCTACATGGACAATGACGAGGTTCTTGGTGTTTTTTTTGAACTGGCTTCACAAACCACGTCAGCAGCACTCACAGGCTGGATCCTCGCCAAACGGGTGGAGTGAAGGGTTTAAGAGTTTGAGGTTCGAGGGCCGTGTCAGGTGCTTCAATCCTGGCAGCTAGTTGGCATACTGTTATGTCTGAGGACACTAGTTGTTGTCATGCACGAGAAGTTGTGTAGAAGTGAGGAAAGGAAGATACTTGTATGAGCACTTCATCTCAAGAACTGGGCAGCAATAAACCGCTACCAAGCGGTACCAAGCACCTGCCAAGGCCTCCGCCGCAGCTTTCCCACCTGCTGCTCGGTGCATACGATCGGCAAGAAACTCGTACGAGCAAAGTAGCGCTGACCAAGGTAAGGTCTTTCTTCAGTACTGTTCGAGATGAGTCCCACACAGGAAAGAACTTGAGAGACTGCGCGAGATGCCCCCAGCACTGAACAAGGCTTTTGGTTTTTTTTGGTGCTTCATGATGGAAGAGTGTCAGAAGAGTGTAGGACTGCAGGAGATCTCTGTTTGTTAGCAGGCTGAGAATGTGGTGCGCATGGCTGCACGTCAAGTTTGTTCGTGTCAAACCATCAAGTATAGACAATCTAGAGTGTAGGCTAAAGCAGCACGTGCGAAGAGCCCTCACCAGCACAGTATACAAATGCACTTGTGCACCTGGCTATGAGCCTTATGAGCGGCTTCGAAGTTCAGGACTCCTCATTGGCTTTGCTCAGCCGTCTCTAAGAGATTGTTGAGAAGTGGCCGTCTTTCAATCCGGGTGACAGGGGCCCTGCACGAACCATTTGAATCCATTTGACAGCCCCTGCGCGGCAACAAAACTGCAAAAGTTGGTGCCCAGGTCGGTCGTGAAGTTATGCGCGCCGCCACGGCATGGGCCTTGTCAACTTATTCCCCTCGGCCAGGCTGGGACTGCTACCGTTCTCGAGATATTTCTTGCCAGATCTTGCCACTGGCGACTCTCAAGCTTCATTTTGTCTGCAGAGCGCTTCAGTGCACAAAGAGGCCCAGTGAGCTTAGAACCAGCACAGGCGCCCGATCGTGTTCGAAACGGCAGAAGGAGCTTCCAGTGGCTCGCTGGCACTTGCTTGCCTTGGCCCTATCAGCCAGGCATGCCGTCTCTGTCAATCACTGTCGACCGAGGCACCGGATGGCCAAGGAATTGACCACGGTGGGCCACGCAGCCCTGGCTCGCAAGTTGGAGGTTGCGGCTGCGGTCCAGGAGGCGCAAATATGCAAGACACTGCAACGGGCATGTCGGTTGCACGCAAGAGAAGGCGGCCTGAGTTGGGATAATCAGTGAGAGCCCCTTCATCCCCTGAATCATGGAAGGAGATGCAGCCGCAATCATCCAGTTCGCTGATACCTGTGGGCAGACCGGGGCGAAGCAACTCCCTGGCTCAGGTCCGTTTGGTGAGTGCAAGAAAGAGCATGGAGTGTGGTTGCACGAATACATGCCGAGGCACTATGTCACTATGCAAAGCTGATATCCTGGTTTATCAAAAGCAATACACTGTTGGGATCCAGAACTTATAGCATCAACAAAGGCGTTTCAGAGGGCTCCAAATGCCGTTCATATGGTTCACAGGCCAGTGCTGTAATATACAGCGTTTCTGATGGCTCACAGGCTGCAATGCACGGTACATAGCATAAAATGCATGAATGCTGTTGACCGCGTTCGACGATGACGACGACGACTACTATTATTATTACTACTACTACTACTACTACGACGAACCATGTGCTTTCCTAGGAGACCTCGATGTCATTGGTGGGCGGGGAATCTCCATGCAATCTGGTATTATTTGTAGGACTATCGTATGTACATGACTAATATTTCTAATATTGTTCAAGGGTTCGATTTGACAAGGAGATCCTGAAGTAATTGCAAAACAGCATTTAGCACATCCTTCTTCCACATGGACATCAAACACGGGTGGGAATGGGTGTTGGTGTGGGCCTGCATTTCTGTGCTTTCAGCCTTCTGAAGTAATCTTCGTCGAAAATACAGGCCTGTATTCCCACGCACCCTCACGTTTCGGTCCTGAGTTGTTATCCTTAACTTGTTTTATGTAGTTGTTGTCCCCTATGCTAGTTTGCTCGCAGGTCCCCGCGTTTTCGGGAAACAGGCCTTTCCAGAAGGCTGCCGAACACAGCACTGTTCACTTGAGGTTTGAGTTGCCGGGTGGGGATTCCGACAGCAGTTTCCGTGTGCAGCTTCCTACAGCTATTGGCGATTGCCTTCGAGCTTGAATCCGGGACCCCCTTACCAGTGGCCATTTGTTTAGCCTGGGGCCTGGGGCCTGGGGAATCCTGGAGAGCTGGGAGTTTCTTTGGACCCGGCATGTCCACAGCCAGAACAGGCCTGGAAGTCGGAGGATCTGCCGGACTTGCCGTGCCAACCGCTCGCTGAGATCAAGAGCAAGGCAAGGGCGGTGGCTTCAGCTTGTTCAGATAATGGGGTTCACGAAAATAGGGGGACCCCTAATATAGACCTTCAAATATAAGGACTCCAAAGGTACCCCTAATTTCGGAAACTTCTAGATGGCCCTTTGCCTTAGTCACCCTGGCCAGGCTGAGATTGAGTACGAGCCGACCGGCCCTGCTTCTAAGCAGGTTCTGGAACAGGATGAAGATGACGGGTTCGGATTCCTCAACATGGACATCAACATGGACCTCAATGCTATTGATCCGTGGGGAAGAGCCTTGAAAGAATTCGGCAGACTGGGAATAATCTTCTTGCTGCGATCGTGCAGTTTGGGCAGGCTTCTCCGTGTTCCGTCGCAGGTTGCAGGTCACGAAAGCTAGCTCCTTGGAGCTTGCGAGAGTTATCGTTTACAACCTTTCTCTCTGTCTAGTGTCCCGCCGCCCTCCCCAAGCTCCCTATCGGCCGACACTGACAGGTTGGGCTTGGGCTTGGGGTCTAGGACTTAGGGGGTCTAGGCTTGCTTCAAGTCAAGAATTTTCAGGGAGCTCATGCATCCCTCGAAAAAGCATTGCTTCGCTGTCCGGCGTTTGTCTAGCTTTCGTAGCCCCAATCACTCCGAGCGCTGAGCGACGCCGAACGTGATGCCGAACGAAGCCGAGCGCCAAGCGACGCCGAGCAACGCCGAGCGCCGACCGATTTCGAGCGACGCATGCGACGCCGAGCACCGAGCGACGCCGAGCGCCGAGCGATGCCGAGCGCCGAGCGAAGACTAACCATGCCGAGTGAAGCCAAGTGATGTCTGACTTGTCTTCACTCGTCTTCGCTCGTCTTGGCCATCTTCGTTTGTCTTCGCTCGGCGTCTCTCGTCATTCACGTGTCTTCGCTCGTCTTCGCGTGTCTTCGCTCGTCTTCGCACGTCTTTGTGTCTTCGTTCGCGCTCTCTCGTCTTCGCAACTCTTCGCTCGTCTGCGCTCGTTTTGCTATTTTGTCTTTGCTCCTTGTTTCGATTTTTTCCGCTCGTTCTCTAATGTCTTCGTCTGTCTTGTGGTTTATGAAAACAGATCTTGGGACGGAATCCTATATGCGCTTGAAAGCGGTGGTTGCCCATTGGCGTTCAGGAGACGATTTAGGGGTTAGGATTTCAGGGACTCTGCCTTAAGGCAGGGAGCTTTCGCGGGGTCCTTGGAAGCGTGTAAAGGCACTCCAGGTGGGAAAATGCACAAGACCCCAGTGGCACGCTTTACAAAAAGGCACTCCGCAAAAGACACAACAGATAATGTCAAAGCCCAAGCATTGTCAAAGTTTTTTGCGCTGCTAACTCACAGGAGTACTTCTTGGCATATGGCAAACAAACTTTTGGATCAGCGTGGGTTTGGCTGAAGGAGCAGTTTCTGCCTAGCGACATGCTGTCGACGGATTTAGGTGCTCGCCACACGGCTGCAGTTTTTGAAGGTTGGATGTCTTGAGGCAAGTTGAGCTCATGATTACTCACGATAGAATGAAGTTCGGCAAATCACCAGCCTCACTCACCGGTGACTCGTTGGTCGGGTGAAGGCCGGCGGACAATCAGCTTCTGCAAGGCAAGTTGTATTGCATCTGATACCAGGGCTCCTTGACCCAACCGAGGTGCACGGGACTTGAGCTCTGCTCCTTGGTGCATGACGAGATACACGAAGTTACGACGAGCCCTTCTGAGCTTTGCACGCTGCCGAACGGCATGGCTTGCGATCTCAGCTGGGCTCTTGCTTGTGCCGCATGATCCCTCGATTTTCAGTCTGCATGTTGCACTGAGTGACGCTGATGCCTGAGTGGTCCGAAAGGCTTGACCCCCGCATCCCACAGCTTATAGACTATTGGTAGATCTGCCCAACGCCTCCGCGGTGGAAAGACCGCATCAACCGAAGCTCATCGACGATGCTCTTGTGGCGGCATGTTGGTTTTAATCCATAGTGTTTGCTTGGGCAGTGGTCCGTCGTTTTGCACGAGACCGATTATCAGACCACACAGGCATCATGCACAAGTGGCTGAATCTTCCTGCAGCTCAGCGCAACTCTGTGCGTTTGGATGCTAGTGCAAACGTAAAGCAGTATGATGGCCATTGTCTCGCTGGGCGGGAGTCAGTAAGACGTGTACCGTCATGGCAGGGAGAGACTTAGGGTGGATTTGAAGAACGCTGGGCTTCCGTGCCCTTGACACTTGACACTGCCGGGTCCAGAGCAAGGTTAATCATCGACACTCGGCAAGCTGGTTGCTGGGATGCGCAGTATGTGTTCTGATGCGTGCTGTGTTGTTAAGGGCCCGGCGCTTGCCTCCGACCCTCAAGGGTCCTTCGCACATCAGGATTGTGTCAGCACGTTTTTGTGCCGCCAATAGACCAAGCTCGGCAGATGATCAGCACAACTACGAAGGTGGAAGCATGCTATGTTTCTGGTACCATCTGCCTGGTGCCGAAGACCTGGGTGTGGCCAGCTGTGTTTAAAAGCCGAGTGTCCAGTTTGCGACGGCACTCTTAGAGTGAGGCACGTCACAGGTTCCTTGGTTTTTGAATCAAGAATTTGTCAAGATAAAGCCGCTCGCGCGGGCTGACTGGCTGCATACAAGAGAATGTTGCCGGCAGGGGTAGGGTCTGATAGTTGACGAGGCTCATGCCTCCGTTTCAAATTGAAAATTTCAATTGGCTTCTTTTCCAGTGCTGGGGAATGCTGGAAGTCTTGATGGCATGCGGCAGGCATCTACATTCCACATGTATCATATGCACACATGTTGTTGCGTGGCTGGTAATGGAAAATGGGCCGTTCAAACAACCAACTGCTGGAGTTTGAGCACTCTATTGCGCGTGCCACTTTGGCAAGCGGCCGCTTCTGCAGAAAACAGTCAGCACGTACCTGTGTTCTGCAAGCAGCGCCTGCACCATACAGAGCCATAACGCACACGCAAAACAAATGCTACTCGACTTTTCTCCGAACTTTGAAGGCTTTGACCTTGGGCTGTCCAGCAGCGGCTGCAGCGCCACAGGATCTGAAGAGATAGCTCGGTGTTAGAATGCAGGTTCTTACATGTTCTTAATCTTTGTTGAAGCCTGAAGGAGCCCTGAAGCCTGTGTCGCAGGTCACGTGCGCAGTACATCTGCCAATGTTGCCTTCTCTATCTGCACAGGAGCACCCAGTGGCTGATCCAGGTGAGGCTGTGCAGCGCTCAGTCCACATTGCACCTTCAGTGACATCCCAAGGGCCATCCAGATTCAGACACAGAGCTGATGATCCAAAGCCCATTTCTGCGCTTGCACACGTATGGGACCTTCTCCACCCTTCGGCATTCGCGCGCCATGGGGTCCGGAAGTTCGGCGCGCAAGGCCGCTAAGGCTGGTAGGACTCGTGGCTAGTCGTCATAGACGGCATAGAGAGCATCGACGCGGCCTCGCCCTCGTCGTATCTTGCGCAGGCTCAGGAAGGCCCGGTTCCTGAAAGAAAGGCATCTGAAGCTGTTCCTCGGACTTGAGCTTGAGACTTCCACACCGGGGCTGTCCGGTAGTCAATTCGCGGAGTTTGCTTAGGGAACTCCTGCCAGCTGTACACAGTTGCTTCACAAGGGGATTGTGCATCCGGATTCTCCCTCCTAAAAAAGAGGGGCGCGACCCATACAGAGCTTTCAGCGTTCACAAGCATAACTCAGCCCGAGGCAGAGCCAAGTGATCTCAGCACAGTAGATGGCCGAGCCGCTGTCATGCAGGCCAGGTGTAAGCGTCACACCATGCCTGTGCTGCTGTGACGGGTTCTATGGCGTGCATGGGCTAAACATGTTGTCCCACAGGCGAGCTTGCAAATGTCGAAGATCGAGTTTGAGGAGCACATGCTTCGGCTGGAATGCCAGTTCCGGTTAAAGTCTGTGATTGACAAGACGGAACACCGTGGTTTGTCCCTGTCCCAGCTACATGGCCTGCAGATGCCTGTAGCTTTAGCTACTAGTCGGTGCAGGTATGAGCTTCCGTCTCTCAGCGGTTTCATTTTCCGACATGGGTTGCGGAAGGCTACGTGACATCCGAGACTTTGCGGAGCAACATTGCAGCCGGTGGTGCGATCTCGCTCCGCCTGAAAGATCTGCAACGTCTGGCCAGACATTACGCATGGACTTCTTGAACCTGTACCACATGTGCACATGGTGCATCCTTCCCGCCACGCATGTGGACAATTGCAGCTTCGTTGAGCTACTGAGCAGAAAACAGAGTGCAGCATAGTCGAACAAGAGGCAAGATCCACTACAGCTCGAAGGCTGCACTACAACCGAGGCTTGTGGCAGCCAGCGATCAGATACCCAACTGGTTCTGCAGTCACTGGCGGCCTTGCTCAAGCAATTGAATGCACCAACTTCTGCACTATTGTGATTCCACACGAAGCAAAAACTAGGAGTAGTGGAGGGAGGAACGTAGCTGGCGGAAGTTCCTGGGCTCTCTCAAAACTCCCGCTGTAAGGGCTCCAGTTCCGGCGTCTCCACTAGGATTTTGAGTGAAGGGCCCTTATTTGACATGTAGATGTTTTGCTACTCGAGGAAGTGCCTCAAGAAATGCCTCGGCCATGCCCCGGACTGTCAGTTTTTTGGCGCTGGCCGGCTTGAGTTCCAGGGGTGGCTTCTTGGATATCCCTGTTCCCTCCATGACAGGATCTTCACCCAGAGAAGCAGCACGTATCGCAAGCCCCAATAGACAGATCCGAGCACGAAACCGCCGACCTCAAATTTCAATTTCGTTCTAGCATAAACTTGAAACGTTTGCCGGCTCCAGCACGTTAAGATATCCAAGGCTTCCCCATTGACAGAACCAAACGGTAGCTCTTAGCACTTAGCCCGCAGCCTGTTAGGCAGCCTCGCCCCTAAACTCTGCGCCAGGGGTAGTCCTAGGCCCATCAAGCGAGAGACAGCTTCTTTTAGGGTGATAGCCTGCAAAGCTGAACGCATCCGCTTCAGCAAGGTGGGGGGAGCCTATCCAAGATTTTGCGAGTTGTGTAGAAGCCCATCAAGCCTTGCGGCGCACTGATGCTTGGCAAACCGGCTGAGATCGGAATGGTGGAGCCCAGAAAATAATTGGGTGAAGTGCAGATGCTGCAGATCATACGTTCAGCTCAGGACTTCTACTGGATATGTGCCTATGCGAACAGGCAGCACAGCTTGCACGAAGAGCTCGTCACCGATCCATCGCAAACTAGCTTCTACAAGGCGCTGAACAGGGTTGTGTGCCGTTGGTAACCCCTGTCTCGTTGTGGTGCGACATGTCTTTCGCACGTCTGATGCACGTTGGCTTCAAGATGCTGCCCTGATGATGAAGGCCATGTGCTTGTCGAAGGGTGTGCTCGTCATTCTTGACGAGGCCGGGTCAGTGCTCCAGAGATGGAGCGAAGAGGTTCAGAAACACAGCAAACACAGAGAAGCAAGAACAAATCAAAGGACAAAGAACTCTAGGTCAGGCAAGATTGCGATCGACGAATTCGGGGCAAACACATGCACGCACTTTCACCCTTCTCAACGTTTCTTCTGCTGCTGCTCTCCTTTACTAGTTTTGATGACCGATCGCAACTCGGAAACTGGATGCGATTCAGGAAACTGCGGCTCAGGAAAGCTTTGCGCAAAGCGGAAAACTGCGCGATGCAGGAAACCGGAACCGCCGGAACCATGCGATTCAGGAAACCATGTGAACGGAAACTACGGGAGGGATGATAACGTGCATGTGCAGAAAGCTTTACGATTCCCGAATGTGCGATTTTCAGTTTGCCGAATCTGCGCTTTTCAATTCCCCCTTACGCGGTTTCCAGTTTCCCGGATCCGCGGTTTCCGAACTCGCGTTGTCCCTATCCCGAATCTGCGATCTTGGTCCGTTTCTCGAATCTGCTTTGTCCCCCCTCCCGAATCATGTTGTTTTCCAGGTTGCGAATCCGCGCACTCAGCGCAGTTTCAGTTTCCGAATCCTCTGCTGACCTTGTCTCCGTTATTTGCGAAGCAGCTTTCTGTATGTATCTGCTGCTGTGAGTTCCTGCCCGTCGCCTTCGAGTATGCTGTCTTGCTTCATCTGCATAATTTCGCTGTATTATATAGTTGCTACGCGTACTTTCGGCCGTGGTTTCTGAATCTCGGTTTTTCCTTGTCCTTGGGAGTCGCTTTCCCGGTTATCTCTGAACTCACCCATGTTTGCCGACCCTCGCGTCCCTCGAGCGTGAAGAAGAGCCATGCCCTGAAGCTGCCGTCCGCGCAATCGAGGCTTGATTTGACGACTGCGATTGCAGGGCATCTCATCTCCGAGTCAGTTTACTACATTACATCATATGAATACATCATATATACATTTTTGTGATATCCATGGGCCGGAAATGTGGAACAGCTTTGGCTCCTTGCCTGGCGCTATACAGTGACATCGTCGAATCCCCCTGCGCCAATTTTGCCGCCATAGCTAGGGCGAGTTGACCTGCCGCCATCCCAGGCTAACAACGCCGTTTTGTACCACTTTCAATTTTGAGAGCTGCGAGATGGTTGCTCTAGAGACGGGCGAGAAGCAGGAGGGGAAAGAGAGGGGAAGGAGAGGAGAAGGAGAAAAGCAAAAAAGAGATGCCAACAACCAGTCTCTTTCGGCTTGCGCGACCAAGATGTTCTTGCGACCAGACAGATCACAAGAAATGTGCATTCGCCGCTACTTTTCCAAGTGGAAGTGGCAAAGGGCTTGATGAGCCACGGGGAAATGTCAATGTCATTACTTGCAGAACCATACTGCACGCTCCTTTTCCCTTGCCCACTCAAGAGGTAAGAGGAAGCTTTAGTACATTTTGGGTCCTGAACTGGCAGAGCACCTGATTTGGGGGACATGGAGTTAACAGGTGTCGCGCCCCCAGATCTAGATCGTCGTGGCTCCATGAAAAGAAGGAAACCAGCATCGTAAAGTCTCAGGGGCCTTGATTGTGATGAGGTGGGCCCAGCAACACCGTTCACCCGAATCTCGGCCCCAAAGTGAGTCGGCACCAGCCATGCAGTTGTGTAATTGGGCTTGCCTGTCATGCAACTGAAGTGCAACAACGTTGTCTGAGGGATTGAAGGCTGCAGAGTCTTAAGGTCTTGGGGTTTATGCCGCAGTGTGATGCGCAGAGCAAGTTAGTAGTTAGCTACTTCATATTATAGATTAGATATCATAGTCTACTTTATATATATATATATCATGGTGAAGCTTGTCCTCCAGTTCCTAGGCATCTGGTGCGCCTTTGAAGCATATGTTGCGCTCGTCGACCGGCCTCGAGAAGAGGCCCAGTGCGAACAATGCATGCACAAAGGGATGTCCAAGCGCCGCACTTCTTGCTAGCTTTTGTCGGTGAATGCTTCGTTCGCAGGCAATGCTGCTAGACATATCCTGTCGCCACGACAAGACGACCTATCTGCTGACAGATGGGCTTGCTGCGGATGAGGCTAAAATTCAGGACGACAGCTGCTGCAGCATGGCACTCTGTGCAAAAGTTGGGATTTGTGGTTGTGCAGCTTAAACGACGCTGAGAAGGAGATGGACAATTTCAGCAGGGGCGCCGTGGCACTAGCGCAATCTTTGCGTCTTGGCTTGTCGAGCAAGGCTTGCAAGGAAAAGTTGGCCGTAACATGTTGTCTGTGCGCGGGTGCGTATGTATGTATGTATGTATATGTATGTATGTATGTATGTATGTATGTATGTATGTATGTATGTATGTATGTATGTATGATTACGTATGTATGTATGTATGTATGTATGTATGTATGTATGTATGTATGTATGTATTGGCGGGGCCCTGGAACTCATAACTCTACCCAGATTCAGGTGCGCAGTGCTGGTGCGCAAGCTGGTGCGGGAGCTGGTGCGCGAATCGTTGGGGTCCGAAAAGCGGTGCGCAAGCTGGTGCGGGAGCTGGTGAGCGAATCGCTGGGGTCCGAAAAGCGGTGCGCAAGCTGGTGCGGGAGCTGGTGAGCGAATCGCTGGGGTCCGAAAAGCGGTGCGCAAGCTGGTGCGGGAGCTGGTGCGCGAATGGATTGGGCCCGAAAAGCGGCTGGTGCGGGAGCTGGTGCGGTGCGGGAGCTGGTGCGCGAACCGACCGTTCCGACGGGTTACGACGGGTTCCGACAACGGGTTTCGGAAGTTTTCAGTGGAGGATGGGGAGGCGTCCATTGCGCACACCGGTTTTTGGACCTCAATG